CTACAGAGATGTGAAAATGATTTATCGATAATGTACATTTTATCAACATGACTCTTTTTAAGTAGCAGTATGTGCAAGTAAGATTTCGATGGAAGATAATAGTTAGGGGAGTTTCATTATCGATTACAAAATCAAGTGTAAAAACCAATATTCAATATTAACGACTTATTAGTCTGAGTGAAAGAAATAGATTTCTTTTAAATAAAATTTCAAATTTGAATCTTATGAATGAAGAAATAAACGCTGAGAAAACTTCCTCTTAATAGGGTTTGACATGACTCGATTTTAAATTAATCGGGATTCAATTGGATTACCGAAAACTAAGAGGTTAATACAAAAAAATAAACAATATTCAACAGTCTCACCGCTAATGCATAACAGCTCAACAGAATGAAATGCATGAACAGGCAGTCAGGCAGTAATGCTTTGCTAGGAACTAATTTATTTGGGTACTTGAACTATTTATTATTATTATTATTATTATTGCGGCAAAATGGTTCCTAAGAAGAGGCAACTTAGGGAAAAGGACCTCAGCTTACATTTACACCAAGGGGAGGAGGTGAAAGATGGGAATATTTGGGACCAAAAAAAATTGAAAAATAAGTGCCTGTTATCTTCAGCAAGATAAAACTAGATAACAGAGGCACTTTCATCAATTCAAAAACTTTATTCCTAACTACTTCTCACCTCATTCCTACCTCACTCCTCATGGTCCTCTTTGATCAGTTTACTCCTATCAACGCCTCATTCCAACCTTTCCTCGCGATCAGTCTCTCCTGTGCTCTTATCCTCGCATGGTCTTTTCTCGTTGCCCCTGTCATTGTCACCATTTGCACCTGAAGAAGCAGAGGCCCTTCGGGAATGATGAACTGGATTGTGCGGGTCATACTTCTGGGAGGATAGGTAATTCAGAGCCTGAACCACTTCATCTATGGTTGGGCGCATGCTGGCTTGCTCCTGGAGACACATTGCAGCAATGGCAATAGCTTGGAACAAGCCTCTCATTGGATATTGACCTTGCAGATTTGGATCAACCATTCGTGAAAAGTTCCTGCGATCCTTGAACATGGGACGTGCCTGCAAACAATCAAATAATTAAGCATTTGTAAAACCTATGGGACTACCTCCATTTACTATTATTTCCTATGTTCTAAATTGAGTCTTAATACGCTTACCTATTTAAGGGCTCTCATTTGCTAAAAGATACAAATCATCAGCTATATGATATGCCAAAAGAGTCAATAAATCACAGATGTTAATACAAGAGATTAGAAGAAACTTCATGCATATTTTTTTGAATTATTACCATCTACGAATCATATAATGAAGGAAATTAACTTAGACCAGAAGAAGAAACTTCGTGTCATCTTTTAGAATTCAATGTAAGATCGCATAAGGAAGGAAAGTCATTTCTTGCAGAATAAAGGAAATCAATTTCACTACAGTTACAAAACCATCATGACCCTAAATAAGTTTGATGAATATATGAGAGAAAGATTGAAGCCATGGAAATTAAATAGTGCTGTTGCAAACTACAGAAGGAAAGGTTTAGGGACAGCAAAATGACCATTATTTTTAAATAAGAAAAAAGAAAAGGGGTTTGCATGGGTGCACAGGCACTCATGCATGCATGTCAAACTTCAATTGAAATTTGCATATAAAAGTTCATGATGTAGTTTGTGCACAATGCAGAGGGGCCACCTTGGATTTACCAACTACAGTAGCATCACCAAATGAGTTTGTTACCTCCATTGCAGATTATCACTGTGGATAGAAGGCTGGGAAAATTAACTAACAAAAAAAAATGGTCCAGTATGGCCCTTCGGTGAAATCTAAAATTCAAAAACAGGGCAAGCATGAAAAGGAAATACAAACTAGACAAAGGCAATAAAATCAGTTAGATCGCGCCCTAGATGGGAACTTTTATTTCTTAATACACCTATACCAAAAAGCCAACAAGGAGAATATTTGGACAGCACAACAATCTATTATAACAACAAAATTGAATATTTTTTAACTAAGCGAAACGCCCAATATAGCAAGTAGAAAGAGATAATTGAGCTTGATCTTACCCATTCAACAAGATTTTGCTCCTTTTTCTCTCTTGTATTGTCAATTGCTTTCCTACCAGTGATTAGCTCCAAAAGTACAACACCAAAGCTAAAAATATCTGACTTAAAATTTAGCTGGCCAGTCATTGCATAATCTGGAGCACAGTAACCATATGTGCCCATAACCCTTGTAGAAACATGAGTTTCGTCTCCACTAGGACCCACTTTGGCCAAACCAAAATCAGATAGTTTGGCATGATATTGCTCACCAAGCAAAATATTGGAGCATTTCACATCACGGTATATTATAGGGGGTTTCATTTTCAAATGCAAATACTCTAAACCCCGTGCAGCACTAGCTGATATTTCCATCCTTGTATTCCAATCAAGTGGTTTTCCATCAGGTGGAAGATCTGTAGCCATGACAAAGAATAAACAAGGCAAAAGAAAGATTTCGAATAATTGATGATACTGGTAGAGAAATAGGGAAGAAGGTTGAGAAATCACATACCATGTAGATGGTTTTCTAAAGATCCTAATGGCATGTACTCATAAACCAACAGTCTCTGGTTACCCTCGGCACAATATCCTATCAATTTAACAAGATTTGGATGGTCAGCCTTACTTAATGTCTCCACTTCAACAACAAACTCCTTGATCCCTTGAAGACCATTACGATCAAGTTGCTTGATTGCAACAACCTAGAGCAAACAACAGCAAATTCAAGTTCCATCATCAACTTCATCATCAAAGAATAACATCGAGAACAGAGAATCTATTATACAGCACCTTTGTCAAGTTGAAGCCACATTTAGTTTAGTACACTGTTATGCTGAATTGACTAACTAGTCACTACTGAAATTTTGCTAAGCAGGGCAATATTGCTCAAGTCTCAACAACATTAACGATAAAGTCAGATCAATTCAACTGACCTGGTTTATTCTCTCCAAGCATCCCTTGTAAACTTTGCCAAAACCTCCTTCCCCTAAGAAACAATCTGACCTAAAATTACCTGTTGCTGCCATAAGTTCCTTGAAAGAAAATTTCAACACCTCCTTCCCTTCACTTTCTCCATCATTAGAAACCTCATTCCAATCATGAGTCAAATTCAGATTCTTCTTATCTCTCGATAGCTGGTCATTATTAGCAGCCTCTTTCGGTCTAGCTATAACAGATGGACAAAAACCATAATGACATCTGAGTAAAAGACGCAAGGTAACCAAAACCAAATGCAAAAGCCAAAAACCAAATGAGAACAACATATCATCAAATTCTAAAGCAAACAAGGAACGCATAGGGACAAACAGAACAGCCAGTACGGATTTTGGAGTATGGGTTGGATCTTTCCCACCATGCAAACAAACAAAAGGACTACTGCCATAAAATAGAAACCATATGATGCCTTAAAATCCAAAGAAAAAAAAAATCAAAACCAAGTGAACAATAAAAGAATTAGTCAAATTTGCTTAAACAATATAACAGATGAGTATTGAACTAAATAGTCAAGACCCTTTTCAAAAGAATCAAAATTTAGCATTTCTTAAGCCTTTACTTCTTGATCAGATATCAAACACGGTGCCATTTCACTTTTAATGAAGAGTGAGAACAGAAAAAACCCATCTTGATTGGCAAAAATATCTAAAAATCAGACAAATTAACCAAAGGGTTAATAGAAAATTATGCATTAAACTTTTCTCTTTTTTTCAAAATAAAGATTTTATTGTCATGGAAAACAATATGAAACCCCAATAGCACATTCAGATTGTCAAAAACAAACAAAACTCAAAAAAGGCCAAAAAAAAAGAAAAGAAAACCCTGAGAGACAAAACAGAAGACGAACAAAAACCATCATGAAATTTTAATAAACAAAAGATCAAAATTTGATTACAGAATTCCCATACCTGAACTGGCTACCGCCGGAACATGGTTCTTTTTGCTCCTCGTACTCTTACTGTTACTATTGCCGTTCCTGATGCTCTCATTCTCAGATCCTCTGCTCGATCCTCCAGTGCAGCCAAAACAACCCATAATAATAAACACAAAAGAAACCTAAAACTCTTATATTTTCCCTTACTTTCTCTCCGTTTTCCTTCACTTTCTCAGCTCCAACGAGTAAAAATTGAAACCCCGAAAAATCAAACACCAAACAAAGTTTCGGAAAGAAACAGAGGAAAGAAAGTTCCAAACATGATGAGGAGAAAACGAATTCCGCATTTTTTTTTTTCTATTTAGTTCTATTTTATATTTTTCAATTATAAATCACCTACAAACCGAACTACAAATTTGGTTAATGGTACCCAATGAAATCTTTCCACGTCACTGATTCAAAGGGGTGTTTAGTCATTTTAGGTATGTACACGGGAAGATGTGGTTGCGACGAAACCATATCATACCACGTGGCGTTCCCTTTGTGTGTAGTATACGAAAATACGTCGCAGTTGTTTTATGATTTTTGTTTAAACAATTGAAAATAAAAAATAATTAAAGAATTAAAAATATTCAAAATTAAAATTTTATATAAATATAATATATATAATTTATATATAAATGAATCTCAATTCATATATATATATATATATTATAAGAAAAATAAATAAAAGAAAAGTTATAAACTAACCCAATAAATTTGAGGACTCTGCCGGTTTCATCCTTTATGGGCGAAATTGTCAGAAGATTCCAAAAAGGGGTCCCATCTTTCTTATAATTCAGCAACCTCCCACAGTAACTCGTGCCAACCTGCAATGCCTCTCTAATCTTTGCCACGTCATTCGGGTCTGTCCCCACCCCTTGCAAAAATCGGCTGGACCCACCACCAATAAAATCCCATAATTACCCCTCCACCCGCCGTTGTTACCGTTATTAAATTAATTAAACCAACAGTTAAACTCACCAGTTCCGGCCGATGACCTCCTTGGAGCTGTAACCAGTCATCTTGAAAAATCCGGCGCTTGCATACATAATCGGGTGATCGGGTTTGGTCGCATCCGACACCACAAAGGTCTGCTGAAATGCTGACAATGCGTCTTTCAACCCCTCCGATACCCTGAGAATATTACTTTTCTCCTTGTTGTCTCCGTCGCCGTCGTTTGATAAATCCCCTGAGCTCCTTATTGAATTGTTCGAGTCTCTCCGTGAACTGCCCGGTTTGTTATTGGGGTCATCCCCACCTGAATTTCTAACCGTAACACCCTTCGGTTTCCCGGTTTCGTTGTCCGTTTTCAGCACCAAACCCCACTCTGCAGCCCTCTGCGCCGCAGCACCAACTTCTCCGGGGGAAGATCGTGGCATTTCGAGGTTCTGATCCTGATCTTTGATGATTCTCTGAACGAGGGGTGGTGTTGGATCCTTCAGAGCCATCCATGATTTGATTTCTTCTGCCGGATTCGACTCGGAGGTGGAGGAGATGCATGGAGAGTTGGGTTCGGAGCCACCACGAGGCTCTGTCCACGTTTGCCAGGTCGGCTGCTTCAATTGGAAAACAGGGTTGGTGGGTCGGGTTGCGAAGGTGGAGGGATTGAATACTTCAAGTGACCCACGGTGGTCCCTTGGTAGTGGTGGAATCAAGGGCGGTTGCTTTGATGATTTCTCTGATTCCATGTACACTTCTGCGTAAAATACATATCCATATATAACACTTAGTTTGTTTGTTCATATAAACATATAGATAGTAATACAAAATGCAAGTCCACCGGGTACGTGGTTCTGAAGTTTTGTTAATACTAAAATCAGTTAAATTAATCATAATTAAAAATAAAAAAATTTGAGGTATTTAATTTAAAATTAACTTGTGAGGCCATAAAATATTCAATAAAACTATAATTATTTATAATATTAAATAAATATTATGTCATATTAAACGAATGAATATATATAATATCACTAATGATGAATTTTTGAATAAAAAAATTAATTATTTAACAATATATTATATTATAAATGTATAATATTATATAATATTATAAATATAATATTTTCGATCAAATATGCATGTATGTATGTGTAAAAGGTTTGATGGGAGGTGTATGTAGTCTTTAAAATGATGATACCACCTGGATGTCATGATTAGCTTTGTTTGCACTAGATACAAAGGATTCAGCTACTTATCCCCAGAAAATGGTACCACCAGTGTAAGATATGGACATGTTTCATTTTCATGACAACTTTGCTGTGGGACATGTACTAAGACTTAAAGAAACGTGGGAAAGAGATGCTTTGGCAAATTGCAATTGTGAAATGAGAGCTGGGGAAAAAACTAGTAGAGAAAATGCAACTATAATCAGGATTCATCATGGGGTGTTTTGGTCATTTTAGAAGCTGCCCTCATTCATCTAAACTTCTCTCACTACAGTTTGGAGGCAGGAAAGAATGAATAAGTTAAGAACCTCATGATAATTTTCTGGGATAGTTTGGTCTGGAAATTTAGCAAGATAATTAGGTGGAAAAAAAGGAGCAAGGAAATAAGTTATGTAATTACTTACCTGAATTCAACCTGTTTGGGTTGGAGAGAACAAGCAAAAACTTGAGAAAATGAACTAATAATTCCTTCAATCAAAGTGGATCAAACAAGCTAGGAAAGCCAGCAAGATCAGAGAAAGAAGGGCAGGAAAGAGATGGTGAGGAAAGAATTAATGGAAGGAGAAAGGAAACTTTCTACTTAATGGGAAACAGAAAGGGTGATAAGAAATGAAAAAGAAGAGAAAGGAGAATGATTTTGGAAATGGGGTCTGATTTTCCCATCCTCGATCCATGCCTATATATATATACACTAATAATATAAATGAAAAAATAAAATTTTTGAAAAATACTACCAAAAGGTGGACAGAAAAAGATTCTGTTGCACTAACCTCAATAATTCTTTCTTTTCTTCCTCTTTGGGTTAAGAGTTAGGGACCGAAGCAAGAGGAGCAGGGAATTAGAAAGAGAGTGAAAGTCTCTTTGTTATGTGGAATGGAATGGACATATATGGATCTAATGCTATACACACACAAAATGAGAAAGCAAAAGGAATGTTTAACTACTCTAGGTATCTATGTTACAAATAAAATGAAAAATTATTTTATCATTCAAATTATTTTTAATTGTAAAACAGTGACATTTGAATAAAGAATAAGACATTTTGATATTGAATCTCTCTCCTTATTTAATGGTTTTTATTATATAATTTAAAATAATTTAAATTAAATTAAATCCCTATTAGTCCTGAATTATTTGTACGGATCCTTGATTTGGTTTTGGAACTAAAAAAATCCTTAATTTGGTTTTTGAATTATTATATAAACTTTTGATTTGATCCCTATTGTTTATCAATTTACCCTAGTTGATCTTTTTATATAAAAAACAACTAATGTATTTTATTATTAACGTAATATGTGATCGTTAAGTAATTATTTTTTGTGGTTAAATAATAAATACGTTAACTTTTTATGTAAAGAAAGATTAATTTGAGGCTAAATCAATAAATAATAGAGACCAAATTAAGATCCGTATAATAATTCAAAGATCAAATTAAAAGTTTAACCTTTAAATTATAAAATATAAGAAAAAAAAAAAGGCATATGCATAAATGAAGGATGGAGTAGGTATGGGAATGTGGAATGAAGGATTGGAGGTAGCAAGACACGTGGGAGGACCCATAACACGTGATCAAACTTTGTTGTTTCTCTGATAATTGTAATCCGATCGTCTGTGAGAGGTCAAATCACACGCTACATTGTTGCACTATAGTTATGGGTCATTTTTTCCTGGTTAGGCACACCACACTGTTAAGGTGTATGAATATGATAAACACCCAACAAGGGAGGTCCCTACTTTCTTTTTGGCGAGAGGTGAGGTCCCCTATTGCCTACTCCCCCACTTCATTGTCCCATTTGCTTGAACACAATTACAATTTGAGGGAGGGGGAATGGGATTTGAACCCTGGCATTCTACTTGGTAACTTGCTGCACCCTTATTCAATAGGGGCTTGGGGCCCGAGTGCACTTCACCATTTTCAGTACTTTCACTTTGGCTCTCATCTTTCATGCCATTAAAATAACCCCCACATGCACAATGTGTCCATAATAAT